TCTAGGAAATAATGCTTATGAGTATTGTCTTACCTACATTAATTATTTGTTTTGCTGAAGTGTGTTAGGGAAGCCTGTTTCCTGGGGTTTTAAAATTTTAATGCACATATTCTCTCTGCATTCTTTACATTCACATTGTTTTTTGTACCTGTGAGTTTTATTTTGTTTAATCTCTTAACACCATCCTCTCTCTGTTCCTGATTTCCCTATATTCTTAGAATTCAGATTTGAAATGCATTTTTCCTTTCAAATTGAAGGACTTACTGAGAAACTGGCTGTACACATCTTTGCGTGCAGATGGCTGTGTGACTCTGATTGAATAAGAAGAAAGACAATCATGGGATCATTAGCACTAATTCTCATCCTCTGGTGATTTCACGTCCATGTTTCTCATCTGTCTTGCTTGCTTTTCTTACCACCACCATTGCTGCTAGGGCAAGGTGTTACTCCTAGCCCCCTCCACTGGTCCGTGGAGACTAAGCTGGCACGGCTGCGTGTGACAAAGTACATCCTTCCTTGGCTGGCTTCATGCCAGAGCTGAGTGGGGATACTCTCATTTGGGGATACTCCATAGATAATTCACAAATAGCATTTTCTCTCTCATTACCTGTATAATGTATAAGGGGATTTCAATTAAAAGGTAAAATTAAAAATGCAAACTTTATTTCTCAACATAAGCTGCATCAAGGTCAAGACACTTGTAAGCAATGCTACTAGGCATTTAGTCCGTCCCTAAAGAACTGAGGGTCCTGGAAATATAACTCAATGCAGTCTCTTTTTACATTATAAAACTAAAGAAAAATGGGTGTCCTTTAAATGGGTGTTTTTTAAGATTAGGAAACAACAAAAGAAAAAGTCAAAAGGAGTCAAATCAGGACTGTCAGGTAGATGCTAATGATTTCCCATAGAAACTCTTGCCCCTGTTGAGAGAATGAATAGGACCATTGTCATAGTGGAGAAGGACTCTGGTGAAGCTTTCTTGGCTGTTTTTCTGGTAAAGCTTTGACTAACTTTCTTTTTTTTTTTTTTTTTTTTT